AGGTAAGGGGTTTGAAATACCTTGCTCAATTTGACAATTGATGACATTTCCTTGTCATTGCTCCCCAATCCGACCCTTCTGTTCCTGTGGCACTTTTTCCAGATGAAACGGAAAACACTTGGGAAAACCAGGATTACATATAAAATTATACAGAGTAAATCCAGGAGGCAGAAAATACTAAATAACCAAGTGACTAGCCCAGGTTCAAGGTACTCGGTGAATCTGAGCTCCTGCTGCTATGGTGCATGATGTGTTTACCTTGCAGAAGTCAGCCCAAAGATACAATTAGCTCACAGCAAAACGAAATAGCAGACTTAAGAAAAGCAGAAACACGTCTCCTTCATAAACTTTGGGTGTACTCTGTCACCAGCCCACCCAGCAGGATCAGGAAGAGTGTTTGCACAGAGCATGCCCAAGCATGGTGACAAACCTGGAAGGAACGGTAGCTGCAGGCTACCGTGACCGTCGAGTGTCTTCTGGACTTCTCCTTGTCCTGCTCCATCTCTGCTGGGCTCCTTGACATTGCTGTGGGATTGGGTGCATGGCACTCAGGCAAGGCAAGTCCAAGGCTTCTGATGTCTTCAGCTTTGGTCTCCATTTGACATCGAGGCCTAGGGTACTCTCAGAAAGAGCTGGAGCCCACAGTTTAGGACCAGCACGAGTCAGCTCAGGGGCCTGCTCCCTCACAAGCAGGATCCTCGGTTTAGTTCTTCTCAGATAACTCAACTCCACTTCATACCATGGCTGTCCCCTGCTATGTGCTTCAGCCACAAGGTGCCACTGCCAATGGGAGGTGGGGAAGGATGAGAAAGAAATTCTATCTCCCCATTTGTTGCAGGAAGGAAGGAAGGAAGGACGGACAGAGAGACGGAGAGAAGGAAGAAAAGGAGGAAAGGAGGAAAAGAAGGAAACAAGTATTTACTAAGTGCCTGCTATGTGCCAGGCATCGTGCTAAGCTCTACAAAATATCTCATTTGATCGTTGAAACAACACTGGGAAGTAGGTGCTTTAATCATCCCCATTTTACAGTTGAGGCAAATAGAAGATAAGTGACCTGCCAGGGTCAAATAGGTGGTGTCTGAGGTCACATTTGAATTCCTGTCTTTCTGACTCCAGGCCTAGTACTTACATCTTATGATTTCATCATGTGGATCATCGAGACTCAATTGAGTAGGATTATCCTGATCCACTGCTTTCCCTCTAGTGTTTTAAGGATATCAATTTTGCAACTATTAGATTAATGAATTAGAGATGGGTGAGACTGAAAAGAGAGAGACCAATTAGAAAGCAATAGTCCAGGAGAGAGGAAATGAGGGCCCTGAAGTGGATGCAACGGAGATATTGATGCAAAGTTGTTATGGAGACAGAATCTTTAAAAAATTTTTACATTTATTTATAATTCATTTGTTTTCTTTCCAGTTTTGAATTCTCTCCCTCCCCCCCATTAAGAAAGCAAGAAAAACAAAATCCATTGCATACACACATGTGTACTTAAGCAGAGCAGATCCCCAAATTAGGCATGATGGAGGTAGAATCTTGATGAAACAACAGCTTCCCCAGCTCCCTGGGCCAGAAACCATGTCCTGGAACACTTAACCCTTTCAACTCAGGCCCCTGAGATCCTGATTGGTGAGGTCCTCACTTCGGCCCACTAAATCAGGCCAGCTCCACTCCCCCACCATTCTCTCACCAGCTGCCTCCAAACCTCTGGCATGGCCCTGCCCCTCTAACTCTGGGACTATAATCAGATCAACACTGCTATTGGAAAGAATGAGTCAATCTACCTCCCTGGGATGGTGAGGGCCAGAATTAGGGGAGAAGTCGAGTGAGTGAAGATATGGGGACAGATGCAGAGATGTTGTGGAGGTAGACTTTTGACAAGCTTCAACTCCCTCTGTCCCTTGAACCTTGTAACATCCCTGTAACTCTCCAAACCAAAACCCCCAGCCTTGGCCTCCCCTTTGTTTGTTAGTTCCCTTTATTAGAATGTGAGATCTTTGAGAGAAGGGACTATTTCCCTTTTGGTTTCGTATCCCCAGAATTTAGTATAGTGCTTGGTACAAAGTAAGTGTGAAATAAACATTCACCTTATACATAGCAGTTATTTAAGAAATGCTTGTAGGTACCACATCACACCTATCAGAATGGCCAACATGACAAAACAGGAAAATGATAAACGTTGGAGAAGATGTGGGAAAATTGGAACACTAATGCATTATTGGTGGAGTTGTGAAATGATCCAACCATTTTGGAGAGCAATTTGGAACTATGCCCAAAGGGCTATAAAAATGTGCACACCCTTTGACCCAGCAATAGCACTTCTAGGGCTATATCCCAGAGATCACACAAATGGGAAAAGGACCTACATGTACAAAAATATTCATAGCAGCTCTTTTTGTGGTGGCAAAGAATTGGAAATTGAGAGGATGCCCATCAATTGGGGAATGGCTGAGCAAGTTGTGGTATATAAATGTGATGGAATACTACTGTGCTATAAGAAATGATGAACAGGCTGACTTCAGCAAAACCTGGAAAGACTTGTATGGTCTGATGCTGAGTGAAGTGAGCAGAACCAAGCGAATGTTGTACACAATAACGGCCACATTGTGTGATGACTAATATTGATAAACTTAACCCTTCCTGGCAATACAAGGATCTAAGACATCTCCAGAGGCCTTGTGATGGAAAATGCTATCCACACCCAAAGAAAGAACTATGGAAGCCGAATTGTTATTTTTTTTCTCTTCTGTTGAGTTTTGTTTCCTCTTTCTGATGGTTCCTCCTATTGGTTTTAATTTCTACTTACAACATCACTAATGTGAAAATATGTTTAATATGAATGTAAATGTATAGCCTATATCAGATAGTGCACCATCTTGGGGAGGGTGGTGGGGAGGAAGGGGGAGGAAAATTTTAAACTCAAAAGCATATGGAAGTGATTATTGATAAATCAAAATAAATTAATAAAAAATAAATAAATTAAAAAAAAAGAAATGCTTGTCAGTTGATTGGTTGATATTTCATTCATTTATTCCCTAGGTACACTTAGCACAATGCCTGGCACATGGTGGGTACATAATAAATGTTTAGTGGATTTATTGGATCCCGGTATGGTGGAGAAAGGGCTAGCCTCAAGCCAGGACAACTTGAGTTCAAGTTTCTACTCTGACACATTCAGACTTTGTAATCCTGGACAAATCACTTAATCTTTTCCTGTATTGTGCAGCTCTGGACTCTGAGGTGCAAAGAAGGTGCTGACTCGAAATGGCAGAGATAATTTCCACATTTCACTAGTTCCCAGTACCAGTAAAACCACAGGTCCAGTCTCTATCCCCTATCATTCCCTGGGAGGGGGAAACTGAGGAAAAGAGGCAAATGAGAGATGAATATTTCTGTCTCTTCAGAGGCAAGACTTGCTGCACTCTGGGATATGCGCTAGGCTAAGGTGATAGGTACAACTTACAGAGGTAGTCTGTGGATTACATTGCTTTAGCTTCCAGGTGAGGACACTATAGTGATTTAGGGGAGGATTTGACTCTATTTAGGCATGGTGCAAGTTTCCTGTGGCGGGAATGGCCAGTAGGTGGGGCACACGTCACAGCAGTGACTGAGCCTTAAGGTTTCCAGGTCTGCCCTTAGCAACTTTGGAGTGTGGGCTCCCCAGAGTGTAGACACCTCAATCTAGATCCCTGTCTCTCCCCGCACCGCCCCCCCCCCCAGAAGATGCAAACACTTAACTCCTTTAAAGGAACAACTTACAGGGTCTTGAGGGTAGTCTGAGAGAAAGAATCTTTTTGGCTCCAGCTAGGACCCCAAAGTGGCTGGGAAGCAGGGAGACCTGGACCCCTGCCCAGGCAGCTCTAAAGGCTACAGACAAAGAATAAAACCAGTCCAGGCAATAGGCTAAGGGAGAAGGAAGAAGGGGGCAGGTTGGGACCTTTCGCCCCATCCTTGTCTTTTCATCCCAGCGCCTCAAAGAGTTTTACAAGGTGGGAACTGACTTTTATGGCGTCTAACGTGGAGGTCTCCAGGCCTGGGATGGAGGTGAGAGTAACTTCCCAGTCCCTCAGGGCAGGGTGTCGTTGGGGAGGGGGCGGGGGAAGGGGGCTGGGGCTGATCCAGGTGGAAGTGAATCAGGTGGTAATTAGGCCTGCCTGAATCCCAGGAAATGGGATGGTGTTAAACCAAGTTAGGCTAGTGGGATGAGAGAGCTGCTAAGGCCGTGGGGCTGGGGACCGCTCCAAAAGCCAAGGTCGATCTGTCTCTGCATTTCCGATGCAGAGGAGCTGGGGGCCTTGGGGTTTAGGCAAACCCGGCCCAGAAAGCAGCGGGTTTTTTTGGGGGGTGGGGGAGGAGTCACTAATGGAGCTGACCGCAAGGTGGCCTTGGAAGAGGTCAGCTTGGGGTAGGATCGAAGCGGCTCCATTCCCCCCTTTTCTCATTTCCCGCCGCCTCCCTCTGCACACGCTCTGTCCTTGTGGCCGGAGACCATTAGTGGCGACAAGGTAGCTGTCTGGAAACTGGCCATGTACTCAAAATAACCGAGTGACCTCAGCCTCCTGGCTCCTCTTCTGTGTGGTCTGGTCTGGGGAGCAGGGGAGGGGATTCTGGCCATGTCCCTTTAAGCAGGGAAGGAATTTGGCGAAGGGTTGGCTTCTTAATATAAATAGCGTCTCGCCCTTTAAGAGATTGGGGGGGAGGGAGAGAGCGGGAGTGAGGGGGTGGGAGGTCCCAGGAAATCAGTAGGAGCTGGATAATGAATGGGTTAAGTAGCAGAAGGTAGCTCCGGGGCTTTAGAAAGAGTCCTAGGTCTTTAAAAGGGGGTGGGGTGAATGCCGCTCCACTCCCACTCGCGGCCCCACCTCTCCCCGACTTTCCATTCCCGGGTTCGGTGACTCTAGGGAGGTAGGAGGCGTGGTCAGCGTTTTGTGGGCGTGCCTAGAAGGGCCAGGGGAGGGGCCTGGAGACGGAGGGCGGGGCCGGGCCGGGCCGGGCCGGGCCTGGCCGCGCGGGGCTGGGGCAGTGTCTCGGGGCTGGCGGCGGGAGCAGCATGGATTGGGGCACGGAGCTGTGGGTGAGTCTGGTCCTGCCCCCCCTCCTTTCTTCCATCAGCCCCCTCCTGGTCTCCTTGGGGGCCCCTCCTCTGTCCCAGTGCCCCCCTCCCAGTTTTCTCCCTTTGCCCCTGTACCGGTTCAGTTCTGGCCCCCTTCTCTCCTATTCCCCCTCCCGGTTAGTTCTCTCCCGGGCCCCCTCTCCCAACTCTCCCGCCGGCCCCCTCTCATTTCTCCTCCATTTCTTTCCCGTTTCCCACCACGTTTCTCTTCCAGGTCCCCCTCAATTCTCTCCTGGTTCGCCCCTCTCCGTTTTCTCTCGTCTGTTCCAGTGCCCTCCACTCATTTCTTTCCCACTCCCCTTTCCCCTCAACTCCCTATGCAGCTCTCACCCCTGCGATTTCAGTTTCTCTTCTCTCACGGCTGCCCTTGTGCCCCTCACTGTGATTTCTCCTGCCCGTCTTTCAGTCCCCCTCTATTCCCAGTTTTCTCCTAGTTCGCCTTCTGCTTCTCATTCGTTCTCTTCTACCCTCCCAGTCCCTTCCCCAGACCCTCTTACAGGTCTCTGCTACCCCTCACCCCGGGTGCTTCTTTCCCTGTCCTCTCTCAGCCCTTCTAAGCACCTACTTTTCTCTTACAGTTGCCTCTTTCTTTCTCATGTTCCCTCTCCCGTTTGTCTCCTTTCCTCAGTTTCGCCGTCCCAGTATTCTTCTCCTCTTGTCCCCCTTCCCATCCCTCCCCAGTTTCTCCCACTTGCCTTCCTCCCCACTGGGCTTCGAGTCCTGCCTTTTGTCATCGGCCTCGCTGCCCTCTCCCCTTTTGAACTATAGGGTTGTAAGGGTGACAGAGAGAGCTGGGGCAAGGAACTCCCCTTTCCCCCCTCCTCACCTAGCTGACCTCAAACGAAGTTATTTATGCCGAATTTCCAAAGGGCCCTTTGCCAGTCGGACCATGCCCCTCTTGCCCCACCCACACAGGATCCCAATGTCCAAGAGGCCATGTATTTCTGGGTCTGAGCATGGAGGTTGGACTCTTTGGAGTCCTATGGGGATCTCTCTCTCCTTCCCCTACATATACTCCACTTTTCATAGCCCTGAGGAGGCCAGGCCTGGCTAAACTTGGTGGAGGGTGACCAGTGGTCCTGGAGAACCAAAGGGTTTTCCAGTGGTTAGGACAGGCCACTCAGCAGCTGACTCTTGATTTTTGGTGGGTAGAGTGTGGGGGGCTGTCACTAGTTACCCCTCCCTTGGCTTGAGCTACTGTGTTTACATCCCTTGCTCTCCTCCCCCTCCCACCCCCCCCAACAGGAAGTGGATTTCCTTCCCAGCCTAATGCCTGGGCCAGGGATCCCAGCCCTCCCCCCACCCCACCCCCAAAAGGCCCAGTCCTTAGGCTGCCTGGGTCCCTTCCCCTGGCTGGGCCTCAGGCCCTCCTCTCCCCTGTTTTGTTTTCCTTACCCCTGGCCCTCTGGCCCTCTGTCTCTCTCCCTCTCCCTGGCAAACCAGTTTGTCCTCGATGGATGTCTCATAGTTTGGCTCTGTTCAGCTTGGACCTCTGGGAGGGCTCCTAATCTTGGTCTGGAAGGAAGATTCCTCCCCACCCCTCCAACCCCTAGCTCTGGCTCTGGCTCTCCCCCTGCCCTCCTTGACCCTCTGGCTTTGGGAGCTCCTGGGATAGATAGTGTGCTTGTGGGGGGAATGGGAGTGGGGAGGGGGACTACTGACTTCATGGACCCTGGCCTCAGGGTTCAGTCAGGGGCCCTGGCCAGCAGCAAGTTGTCTAAGCTGCTGAAGCCTTCCCTTGGAGAAAGGCTTGATTTTTGGTGGGTCTGGACCCTTCCTGGTCTCAGTTTCTCCACCCTCACTTTTGGGCCTGAGCTAGATAGGAGGAGGATGAACTGAGGCCCAGGCTGTACTGGGGGCTCTGGAATGAGGGTCATTCCCTGGGAATTAAGTTTGTCTTGCCAGATGAAAGGGGCGTGTGTGGAAAGCTGGAATAGGTCACCTATTTTGAGCTCCCTGACCAGGTCAGGCCTCTTCTTATCTTACTGGGTCTCTGGGTCTTTGCCCAGGGGCAGCTGGTTCAGTACATAGCTGGGGGGTGGGGTGGAGTGGTAAGCAGACATCCACCAGGTGGTTGTCAGGACCCAGGATTTCCACCTTGTCTCCAATCATGGTGTCCCAACTCTTTCTTCAGCCACATTGTCCCAAGAAAGCCCTGACACTTCTTCCAGTGACCTGGAGACACATCTTTCCCTCCCTTGTTCTCTTTTAGAGGATGGGGGCCTGGTTCCTGGGCTCCTCCCTCTTCCTGGCTGGGCTTAATCCATTTACTGGGCTCTAAAGGACTGGGCTGAGTCTGAAAATCCCTGTGGGTGGTGGGTTGGGGGGGTGACTGTTGGAAGGCTAAATGGCTTCAATAGTGGGAGGAGGGTCTTCCTGCCTTCTTTTACACTCCAGGGTCTTCTTTCATGAAGGGGGAGGGGCCAGAGAGGCTGAGGACTCTGGGAAGGAGCCCAGTTAGCCATGGGAGGTGTGAAGAGTTGTGGTCTGGGAGAAGTCTTAACTCCTCTTTCTCTACCTCTTCATCCCCATCCCCCTCCCTTGGCTGCTGGGAGTTCCCACCCCCAGGGGCCTGGAAAATCCAGGTCCCTCTAGAAATCCCCAGGAATCCCCAGGCAAGATGGCAGAGAGGTCAAGTCAAATCACCAAGGACTGGAGCTGGGGAGTGGGAGGGGGATCTCCTAGTCTGGAGCTCTGCCCCACAGGAAGGTAGGGGGTACTCCACCTGGGAGGAAGAACCTCAGTACAAATGCCACCCCAATTTTTTGCCACTTTCTGCAGCCTGACTCAGCTGAGGAAGGGCAGGGAGACAGGTTAAGAAGGGAGTGTTAAGAATGTCAAAACCGAGAGATCTTAGACACCATCTAGTCTGACCTTCTCATCTTACAGATGAGGAAACTGAGGTCCTGAGAAAGCCAGGAACTTAACCAAGGTCACAGAGCCAGGAAATGGCAGAACCGGGAATAGAACCCAATTAGCTCCTTGAACTTCACCTACAGTGAGGGGCTGCCTAATGGAACAGCTGAGTGCTGCTGGGGGATGGGGTGGTCAAGCTGAGTGAAGATGGGCAGGAGAAGGTACTTTGATGTTGTATGATGCGGCCTGGGCTAGGGAAGGAAAAGGAAGGCCCAGAAATCTTGGGACTTCGTGGAGACTGTTTTGTGACTTGGGGGAATTGAGTCAATGAGTGGGGCTCGGGATTGGGTTTCCCCTGAAACTCTTGAGGGGGAGGGAGGGAGGAATGAAGGGAAGGGAAGAGAGAGAAAGAAAGAGCATGTAATTTTCTTTATCTGGGGAGAGGGCAGTGGTGACATTTCCTTTTGTCTTCCTCAAGACCCCTAACCCAGGTAATGGGGGAAGGTTTTAAAGTAGAAACCCCTTTATGGGGAGACTGAGACTTACAGAAATTAAGTGACATGCCCAAGGTCAGACAGGGAATAATAGAATCAAGATTCTAAACTGTGGACACGTCTTCTGATCCTTGCTGTTCCACATGGGCCAAACAGCTGGGACCTACCTAAGCTGTAAATTCCTGGGTGCTCCTAGAGAAAAGAGAATTCAGGAACCCCTGATCCCAAGCCCTGGGGGCTGGGGGGTTAAGTACTATTGGCCCATGGGGCAGTGCCCGCCCCTTGCCTGCCAGTAACGCTGCCCCCCTCTCTCTGTCTTTCTGTAGTGCCTGACTCACCCACTCCTGCCCGCCCAGCCGGATTTTCCGGAATGGAGGGGGATTAGGGGTGTGTGTGGGGTAACCTGGCTGGAGCTGGGGCCTTGGGGGTAAGGGCAAGGGACCAGGCAGGTTCCAGGCTAATTTTGTCCCTGGGGAGACGAGCAAGGATTCTATGAGGCTGTCGTGCCCCCCCCCCCCTTCTCTTCCAGCCCTGCACTGACAAACCCTGGTATCTAGATGCTAGGTGGGGATTTGGCCCCTTGGACTCCCACCAACCTCACCCCTTCTGGCTCAGAGACACTGATGGGGGGGACATCTCCTGCTGCCCTGGGCTTCTCTCTTCGGAGGCCTCTCCTCCAGAAGGGTTAGAGCTATTTTCCTGGCCACTCCCAGTCCAGTCTTTCAGGGGTGGGGCTTTGTTGGCTACACCCATGGGGGGCTGGGGCCAAGATTGGAGCTGGGAGCCTGGTCTCCCCAGACCATTCTGAGGTATTAGAATTGAAGAAAGCTGGTACTGGAAGGGACACTAGATCCCTCCTTTATAGAGAAGGAAACTGAAGCCCAGAGAGGGGAAGGGACTTGTTCAAAGTCTCCTCCCCCCTTCCCACATTTCCTGTTCCCCTTTAGGACCAGTTTGAGGTGATCGAACGCCATACACAATGGGGCCTGGACCTGTTAGACAAATATGTGAAGTTTGTGAAGGAGCGAACAGAGGTGGAACAGAGCTATGCCAAGCAGCTCAGGTAGGCCTTGGAGTGGGGTTGTAGCTCACAATTGCAGGGCTCAGAGCTTGGGGACCCCAAGCTGGCTAACTTAAGAGCTGCAAGGCTCAGGGGAGGTTATGGGAGGCTCCATCTGGAGAAAAGAAGCTGTATGGGGGGATGTCAGCACTTGGATGCTGGGGGGGATTCTGGGACAAGCCTTCCTGGGATCCTTGTTAGGGGGTGGGGGCGGAGCTTAGACTCAATGGTTCTTTTCCTCTCTCTCCTACCCATCTCCCTGACAGGAGCCTAGTGAAAAAATACCTGCCCAAGAGATCGACAAAGGATGACCCAGAGTCCAAGTGAGGAGGGGGGTTGTGGCTGGGGTGGTGGAGTTGATGCCCTTCTCCTCTCCTGCATGGGAGCCTGGATGCAGAAGTCAATCAGTGCTAAGTTCTCTTCCCCTCCTCTCCCCCAACCCTGACCCTGTCCCCACCTCAGGTTCAGTCAGCAACAGTCCTTCATGCAAGTTTTACAAGAGCTCAATGACTTTGCCGGCCAGCGGGAGCTGGTGGCTGAGAATCTGACCGTGCAGGTGTGTCTGGAGCTGGCCAAGTATTCACAGGACATCAAGCAGGAGCGGAAGATGGTGAGGGTCCCTGGGCATTCCCAGCAAATCCCCCCACCAGCAAGACCCCTGACCCCATTTCCCTTGACCAAGACAACTTGGGCCCTAGCTGTTCCTGCCTCAGTTTCTCTCAGGCAGCTGGGCCCCAGCTGAGTCCCCAGGACCCTCATTTCTAAGCACTCCCCCTAATCTTGCAGCATTTCCAGGAGGGCCGCCGGGCACAGCAGCAGCTGGAAAATGGACTGAAGCAGCTGGAGAATGTGAGTGCTAAGACAGGGAAAAGACGAGAGAGGGCAGAGGAATGAACAGAACTGCAAAGCTGGAGGTCCTACATACTCTCAGCTATGGGCCAGCAGGGCCAGCAATGGGGGTGGGCTCCTAGTTATGGGGAGCTGACCACCTCTAATGCCCCCACTTAAGGCCTGGCAACATTCAGTGGGAAAAATCAGCGTAGGGGCCAGGGACTTGGGTTTCTAATCCCAGCTTTATTACTAACTCACTTGTTTGACCATGAGGAGATAAGACCTTTCACCTTATTGGCACTCAGTTTCTCCCTCTGCAAATGGGAACAGTTAGTTCCCCTCCCCCCCTGAAGCCAGGGAATGTGAGGGCGAGGGCTTGCCTGTAGGTGACTTCATTGTCATTGTCACATTCCTCAGAGCAAACGCAAGTTTGAACGAGACTGTCGGGAGGCGGAGAAGGCAGCTCAGACGGCCGAGCGGCTGGACCAGGACATCAATGCCACCAAGGCCGATGTGGAGAAGGTGGGAGGGCTGTGGGACTCGGGGAGTGGAGGTGGGGCCCGCGAGGCCACGGCCCGGGCTGTGACCTAAGCGACCTCCCCCAGGCGAAGCAGCAGGCCCACGTGCGCAGCCACATGGCCGAGGAGAGCAAGAACGAATACGCTGCCCAGCTACAACGCTTCAACCGTGACCAGGCCCATTTCTACTTCACTGAGATGCCTCAGATCTTTGATGTGAGCAGCCAGGCCCTCCGCTGGCCCGGGGTCCCTTTGGGCTCCTCCCCATACTCATCTCTTCCTTTCTCTGCCATCCCCCCACACCCCCCAAGCTGACCTAGGCCCTTCATTGTCTCCCCAGATTCCCTCAGACCCCACTTCTCCATCTCTGGTCTTCCCACCTCTCAGCCCCTTCTCCCTCAATTCCTTGTGCCTCCCCAGAAGCTACAGGACATGGACGAGCGGCGGACAGCCCGGCTCGGTGCTAGTTACGGGCTTCTGTCGGAGACAGAACTCCAGGTTATGCCCATCATTGGAAAATGCCTGGAGGGCATGAAGGTGGCTGCCGCCGCTGTGGACCCCAAGAATGTGGGTGCTGGGCCCCAGGGGCGCTGGGGGTGGGAAGGAAGGAAGCTTGCCGTGTCAGGGATGGCATCGGGACGTGGTCCCAGGGATGGGAGGGCAGGGCGATAGCTCAGGGGGACTAAGACCTGGAGCTGAGTCCTGCTCTTCCACTGACCCCCTAAGTGACCCTGCACTAGGTCCCTCCTTGCCCTAGGCCTCAGTTTCTCCATCTGTAGTCAGATTGATGGACTTACATATTTGCTCAGGTCGCCTCCAGCTCAGAAACCCTCTAGCCTCTAGCCTCTAGCCTGTTTCTGCTGTAATAGTCTTTGAGAGCTGGGGCTGGTAGCCAGATGAGTCGGGGCCTGGAACACTCCACCTCCCCTCAACCCCCATCTCCTCTGCCTGCGTCCAGGATTCCCAGGTGCTCATTGGCCTGCATAAATCTGGCTTCACTCGCCCTGGTGATGTCGAGTTTGAGGACTTCAGCCAGCCCATGACCCGGGCCCCATCAGACAGCAGCCTGGGAGTACCCCCTGATGGGCGCCCTGACCCACGAGGCCCAGTCAGGAACCGCCCCAAGCGCTGGCCCTTCGGGAAGAAGAATAAGGTAAGGGTCAGGGAGGCCGGGGTTAGCTGGGTGGTTTGTGTGTGGGCATGCTCCATTCTGACCCCTTCCCCTGGATGGGGAGGGGTGTCACTGGCCAGCGAGCCAGAGACACGAATGATTGGGGGGGTGTGGGTGGGGCCCCGTTGAGTCAGTCCCCCTCCACCCCCTCACCCCTGAAGCCCCAGGGAACCACGGGCCAGAACGCTGAGTCCTGGGCTGGAATCTTCCTCTTGGCTCTCGTCCCAGCTGGGATTGAGAACCTAGTCCCCTGGGGCCCGGAGCTTCAGGGCAGGGGCAGGGGGGCTGAGGAGGGTTCTCAGCTTGAAGGTTTAATGTGGGGCTTCCTGCTCTGCATGCAGCTGGCTCTCAGTGAGTTTGGGGTCAGAGAATGAGAGAGAGAGAGAGAGAGAGAGAGTGAGTGTGTGTGGGGGGGGGGTGGGCAGGGGAAGTGGCTATTAGGGGAAGCTGTTCATTCCACTCTTCCCTCTCTGCGTCTTGGGGATACGGCCTCATCTTGCGGGGGCGGGTGGTAGGTGGGGCAGTTTGAGGCCAAACTTTCTTTTCACGCTGACCCACTCCCTCAGTGCTCACCCTGGGCTCCCCAATGCTGCCTCTCAGGTTCTCCTGCCTCTATGACCTTAGCCCCAGGCCACTAGTGAGTGCTTCCCAGATACTGAGGGTGACCTGTGATCCCATGGGCTTTCATCTTTGACCTGCCACCTTTTGCCTGTCCTGGATCTGCTTCTCCTGCATGTGTTGACTAGGGAAGACAAGGCTTGAGATGTAGGGGCCTGAGTAAGGGAAAGAAGGGTCTTTGGGGGAAGGGGAGCCAGAATTCCTTGCTTGGTGAACTGAGGCTTAGTAAACAGTGGAGGGTGTTCTGGTCCTCCTGGGAGCTCACAGCCTTGTCTCCCTTCTCATCCCCCACCCTTTGCTTTGTATTTTGTGTTGCTCTCTGGAATGTGCATGTGTCCCTGTGTGTATGTGTGTCCCAGTTTTCTTACCGTTTTTTTCTCCATTTTGTGTTTCCTTTTTTCCTTTTTTGTGTGTCTGTCTGTCCATCCATCCCTGCTCTTGACCACCCCCACCCCATCCCCCATCCCTCGCCCCTGCCTGTAGCTACCCCCCCCCACCCCTGTCCCCCCTGGGGGGACCCCCTCCCTCGGCGTACGCTAATGGACCCCCATCCCCTCGCTTCGGCCGGGACCCCCTGGCCTTACTGAGTGAGATCAGTAAGTCAGTCAAGCCCCGGATAGCCTCCTTCCGCAGTCTCCGAAGTCGAGGGGTAAGTGGGCCCTTGGCCCCTGGGGAGGGGCCTCGGGGGTGCTGAGGTGATGATCCCCCCCCACTGGCAAGGGAAGGGGTGGGTCAAGACAAGCTGGGCACCAGGCAGCTCTACCCTGATCACCTGCCTCCTCTCCCTTTCACCCTTCTTTCCCCACTTCCCACTTTGGGTCGAGGGACTGGGTGGCAGGTACTTCCACACCTGCCACCTGGCATTGCTCCTTGGGCTGCTGGGCTGGAGACAGGGAGGAGACTCAGGCTTCCTAGCACCCTGTGGGGATATTGAAACTGGGGGAAGATTGAACCTCCTTCCCTCTTTTTTCTTAGACAGTGGCCACTGAGGATTTCAGCCACCTGCCCCCTGAGCAGCGAAGAAAAAAGTTGAAACAGCAATTGGAAGACCGAGGACGGGAGCTACAGAAGGAGATAGATCAGAGGTGAACAGTGGGGCAAATACAGGGTACAGGGGCGTTGGGACCACTGGTCCTCTAGAAGATCCAGGAACGGAGGCTCAGGGCAGTTCAGTGGCCTGCCAAGGTCATGCTAAGAGCAGAGGTCAGCTCGACTCTGGTCCTGCCCACCCAGCAGCCTTTCCTTTGGGCACAACTGTTCTCTTTGGGTGTTGTGTGAGAGATTAGCCTTGCTCTGCTTGGCCGAGATGGGAGAGCTTGGAGGGGTGGGGCATGTTGCCAAGTGGCCGTTTTATGTAGGATTTACTCAATTAGAATTGTACAGTTGAGCTGCCTCATAGAGGGAGGGAATTCCCCATCCCTGGGGGCCTTGAGGCCCCTAGCCACTTGTTGGGATGGCCTGCTCAGGCTTGGGCTGGACCAGAAGTCCTCCAGGGACCCTTGTATTGTTGGGATTCTGGCTGCCGGAGAGGGGAGGGAGCTGGGCAGACTGAGGAACCTCCTTCCCTCCCTCTCTAGGGAGGCCTTAAAGAAGATGAAGGATGTTTATGAGAAGACGCCACAGATGGGTGACCCTGCCAGCCTGGAGCCCCGCATCTCAGAGACCCTGGGCAATATTGAGCGACTAAAGCTGGAGATCCAGAAGTATGAGGTGAGCTCCTCTGGTCTAGGACCTGGCAGCCAGCCCAGCTGAGTCACTGGGGGTGGGAGGGTGGGGGGAGGGGGGAGGGGTGGTGGCTCCAGCTGTTTCCCATCATGGCCTAGGCAAGCAGTGAAGCGACCTTAGGAAACCTTCCTGTCCTGTCTGCCTTTGGAGGGTGGTGGGAGATGAGGCACTAGGGGGATACGGCCAACCAGGCCCTCCCAAACACTGATTGCCTTGCTCTTAGACGTGGCTGGCTGAGGCAGAGAACAGAGTTCTGGGTAACCGCGGTGACAGCCTGGGACGGCATAGTCATCCCCCAGAACCCCCCACTGGGGCTCCCCCAGATACAAACAACTGTTCTTCTGAGAAGGAGAGGTGAGGGCCCTCAGGGGGCTGAGGGGAGTGTGTGTGTGTGTGTGTGTGTGTGTGTGTGTGTGTGTGTTTGCATGTGTGCAGCTGCTCTGTTGGAGAAGGGCCCTAGGTGGAGGGACAGGATGGGGAAGATGGGTGGGAGGATAGAGAAGAACCCCAGGGGAAAAGAGAGAGAGAAAGAGATGGGGAGAGAGACAGACACACATACACAGACAGAGAGAGGCACACCCTGGGTAAATGGCCAGGGAGGCAAGAATAGAGAGGGGGCTCCAAGTGGGGGTAGTGGGGGTAGGCCCTGGTGGGGAGTGAGTCATCAGTGGCTAAGGTAGAAGAGGGACCCAAAGAAGGACGTTGGGCAGAGGGGCAGGGTATGAACGTTCACTTCTAACTCCTTGGCCCCAGCCCAGAGGCTCCCCCCTCAGATGAGGGGACGGATACTTCCATCTATACCGAGTTTGAGGAGGACTTTGAGGAGGAACCCGCTTTCCCTATTGGTCACTGTGTTGCTGTCTACCAGTTTGAAGGTGAGAAGGAAGCAGGGAATTGTCAGTTACTTGTTGGCCAGGCTGCAGCTGAGCCCTACTTGAGGCATATTCTATAGCAAAGCCCAACACCTCAGGGCTACTTCTTCATTAGACAGAAGGCACCCTGTGCCAGAGGACACCCTCTCTCTCAGGAGACCAGCCTCGGGCGTTTTCATTAGGGTTCAGGTTGCATGCCTGCTGGCACGAAGGGAGCCCTGGCTTTGGGGTCAGAGTATCGGGGTGTACAATCTGGCTTCTGCCGCTTGGTCCTGGCGTGACGCTGAACAGGCACTCTTAAGGTCCCTTCCAGTTCTAAATTCTGTGGCCCTCTGATTGGCCAGCCATGGGGGAAGCTTTGAGTCAGTACAGGTAACTCTGACAATGTCTGGGGTAGTCTTGCTCATATATCCCATTACCCCCATTAGGGTCCAGTGAGGGCACCATCTCCATGGATGAAGGCGAGGATCTGTGCCTAATGGAGGAGGATAAAGGCGATGGGTGGACGAGGGTCCGGCGGAAACAGGGGGGTGAGGGCTACGTGCCTACCTCCTACCTTCGAGTCACACCCAGCTGAATCCCTTTGCCATCCCCAGGGGTGGGTAGATCCCTGAAAGGGGTGCCCCCTTGCCCTCCCTCCGGGCAGGTGGACAGTCCCGCTGAATGGAGAGTCTGTCCTGCCCCCTTCTTTCCTCCTAAGGCCCGGCTGTTGCTGCTTTAGGACCCTGCCCAGGGGGCCAGGAGTGGGGCTGGGCCTGGCTGCCCCTCACTCCACACCATATATGCACTTTATTCCTGGGGTGGCCTGGGCTTCTGCTCCCCACATGCTCCTCAGCCCAGAGTTCTAGCTGCGGCCTGTGTAACCTCTGCTGCCAGGCCCAGCCCCATTGTGCCTCCTACACTCGATGTAAATACTTGTGCTCTGGCAAGTGCAGTTTTTTTTTTTTTTAAAAAACAACAAAACAAAAACTTGTATAAATGAACTGTGTGCAGCCCCTGACTTGGAGCTTTATTTAGGACTCGGTGGGCGGCCTATGTCACTGGACTCTTCCCCTAGCCTGCTGTGCCCTTGCCCAGGGACCTCACCCACTTGTTGGAGAAGCACTACAGAATAGTGTGAAGAACAGTGGGAGGTGGGCACCTCCCAGCTGCCTAGCCAATGAATCTGTGGCACTGGAATGTAGCTTCATGCTCTCCATCTAAGCCTGGGCCTTCTGGGGAGAGCCAGCCAGCTTCTCTACTGATCTGAGCCCTATGACTTGTGCAAAGGGCTATGGCGACTTCCCACCTTCCTTCTCTGCATAAAGGAGCTTATCTAAGAGGGGACAGGAGGAGGGGGGTGGGCTTCCTAGCCATGGCCCATTCCCACTGTGGAAGAAACACTAGATTTGCTCGAGTGAAGAGCTCGGAGGGGTGGGAGGATGTTCCAAAGCAGCAGATTTCAGCTTGCTGGGAGAAACAGCTTCTGTGAGGTAGTGAGTTCCTTTTCCCTGGAAGCCTTCTGGGTTCTAGAAGGGCAGGAGAAGAGAGAGGCCAGCAGCACTTCCTGGTCCCAGCAAAGGAGAGGAGGAAGAGAAACTGGGTTTGAGGGCTCAGCTGTACCTGCCTCCCCCTTGCTCTAGAGGGTCTCACTTCTCTAGGTGTGGGTGCAGTGGGGCAAGGTTGGAGCTGGGCTTGGTAGCAGTCAGCCTGGGGAACGGATGCAAACACTGCTGTGCCTGAGAGCCAGGCCCCTAGGAGGCTCGGGGCCAGAGGACTGTGGGGAGTCCTGGCCAGCTAAGATGAATCTTTACTGCTCAGGCGACCTCAGCCCTCAGGCTCCAGCCTCCTGGAGAGGGCACTGAGGACAAGGTGAAACTTCTTGTGACGTTCAGCCTGTCCAGCTCCGGCACCCCGGCTGCCCCAGAGGAGCCTCAGGGCAAACTCAGTCTGGAAGGCTTCGCACAGTTCTGGGGTGGGCTGGAAACCTGGGTGGGGGAAAGGGAATGAGCCCAGGGTAAGGCCAGGAGATTGGGGGTGGGGAGAAGAGGGAGGGGTGACTCCTTTGGGGGTGGGGAAGACAGAGCTTACCCTTTAGTCTGGCCCTGGCTGCCTCACAGTAGTGGGAGGCATTGTTGGCCATGGTTCGGGCTCCCTGCAGCGTCCAAAGTAGCCGTTCACAGCTCTCCTCGTCAGACCCCCATAGCTGGACTCCCTCCAGCAGCTGGGCCACGGGCACTATGTGAGGCAGGGCCACCTCCCCTGGCTGGCCAATTCCTGTGATGAGAAGAAGGGAGCTACCGGGATCTCCTGGGTTTAAATCTCAGCTCCAGCTTTTACTAGCTGTAGGACATTGGGCAAGTCACTCATCTTCCCTGGGCCTCAATTACTTCATCTGTATCACAAGGGTCTAGATGACCCCAGTTCCCTGCTTCCAGTTCTAAAATGCCGCCAGGCAAAGGTTTAAGCCTCCACTTACCAGCTCCTTCATCCAGGGCTCGGACAAAGGGCTTTAGCTCCTTCTCGAAGGCCAGCGCAGCCTCTGTGTGGTTCTGCCGGAGGAGACGCCACGTCTGTTCTAGCCGTGTGATCTGGGGAGAGCTGGCATGCTTAGCCCCTGAGCCCATCTGACTCCAGGTCCCTTCCCCATCCTTCACCTTACCTGGGGCAGCTGCAAGGCAGTCATTACTGAAGAAAGAGCGAACAGATCTCCTGTACCCCCGGGAGCCCGAAGGGCTAGTGCCAGCTGGATGAGGCCAAGCAAGGTGGCCACCCTTTCTGCCACCGGCCCTGAGCATCCCACCACAGCTATGGCCGCGGCCAGGGCCAAGGCCTCGTGCCTGGGGAGGGGGGGCAGTTTGCAGGGTCAGTGAGAAGAAAAGGGGGTTGGAGTATGGGGCAGGGTTGTGGCAGGTCTGAGGAGCAATGAGGTTAAAGGGACTATGGGGGAATGAGGGTGGGAACGGGGAGACCCTGGCAGGGAGTTAAGAGAGAAGGTGTAGGAAGCTACAAAAGTTTGGAAGGCAGAACTAGCAACTTTTGTGCAGGTCAAGCCATGGGAACCACACTCAGATGAATTTGGTGACAGGGCCAGTGGGGTATATGAATGTATGTGTAAGTCACCATTATAAAATAAAACCCACATGACACTGCTGTCTTGTTTTTGCATGGGCAGTTTCCTATTTTAACTAATTCTTGCCACCTATGTTGCGAAGAGCCCCTCTGAGCTCTTCAGATTTTTTCTATGCTGAAAGAATAGTGCCATCAGTATCCCCTTTAAATTTTAGCATCCTGGGGCAGAATCCTTATTGTCTCAGTTATAACTCTGGGGCAGGGTTGGAGGGAAAGAGAGGGTAGTTTGAATGGCTGTGAGGGTGGCATGGTTATCCTCTGATGTTCCCCTGGGGGAGATAGGGGCAGGGTTAGGGCTGGAGCATGGGGCTCACCTCTCCAATAGGTTAAGCCGAAGTTGGTGACCATGAGGCAATGTGAGGAGCTCCAGACCTGAGTGGACGCCCATTGCCTGGCGCTGAGTTTGAGTCACACCCAGGACCTGGGCTGCCTGGGAGGAAAGAGGTGGTGAGCCCAGCAAAAGCTGCCTTTGGGACATCTCTGGTCATGATGCTGCCAGATTCTGGGCCTGCTGACCTGGCAGTTGGTGAGAAGCAGGTGTCGGGCTACAGTGCCCACATCATGCTGCAGAAACAGGGCACGAAGGGTCCTCAGGGCGCTGGGCTCCAAGGGCCGGTTCTCAGGGCCCAGCAAGCAGGAAGAGAAGGCTTGGGGCTGGAGGGCAGGAGGAATTCCTCCTTGGGGCCTCACAAAATCTTCAGCCTCTTCTTGCTCCCCCTCTTCCCACCAAGGGGTCTCCTGTGGACCTTCTTGGTTGCTGAGGTGGGCCTGGTGTCCATGGAGGTTCTTCTGCTCATCTCTTTGTACAGCTTCTTCCCCAGGCAAGGCCTCTGTCTTGTACTCCATCTCCTGTCTGTCTCTGGGTCCAGGCCCGGCCTCCTCCCCGGTCCCAGCTTCTTCCCCATGCCTTTCCTTCCCTTGGACGATCTCCTGGGGCATCAGTTCACAGGAGGTGGGTGGCAACATTACAGAAGGTGCTCGTGGAGGTTTGGGTGGCACCTTGGGATGCAGTTGCCCGTCTGAACCCCATAGTGGGATGCCCATGCCGAGTTGCGCCCTACGCAATATGGGGTCACTGCCAGTTCGAAAAAGGGGGGAAGCAGGAGGTATCACTTTGGCCATCTGGGGGTCATCTGGGGAACCTGAGAGCCAGAGAGATACAAGGGGACAGACTTGAAGAAAAGGCAGAGATGGGGAAGAAGCCAGAAGGGCAGAGAGAAGAGGGAACTTAATGTAGATGTTCCTCAGTTTCCCCAACTTACCTGGTCCTTTGCTACCCTTGGGGCCTCCCTTGTGGCCCAGGATGTCTAGGCTGGCTGGCTGGCTACCACTGAGCTCCTTGGACCTAGTGACCAATTTAATTCAAGAAACATTAATGAAAAGTGCCTACTTTGCCCAAGGAACTGGGCTAGATGCTAGCTAGTTACAAAGGAATCAATCGTCACATTCAAAGGAAAAGCTTCCCCTACGGGAGCTGAGCTTTAAAGAGAACCAGGGAGTATACAAGGTACAGTGAGAAGGACGTACATTTGGAGACTGGGGAGAGCTGTGTAAGGCAAAGGTATGGAAGTGGGAAATGGGACCATGAGATAGGGTGTTGCTGTCTCTGGAGGCAGGGAACCCTTAGGCCCACTCCCCCAGCTCACTTTGTGTCTGTCTGAATGAATTTTACAGCTCATACTCCTGTGGTTCATTAAGGCTCACCGGGTATATTCCTTACAATTCCATGAGGCAGGAAATATAAAACATCTTATGCTACAGATGAAGGAACCAGTGCTTAGAGAAATGAGGTGACTTGTCCCAGATGGCAGAACTGAGCTTGAACCTAGGTCTCTTCACTCAGCCCAGGGCTCTTTCTACTGTACGCTGCTGCCTGTCTCTCCCTCCCATTCTGTTTCCTCTTTCCCTTTCCTGGTGGGTAGAGGCAATATGATCCCCAAGCTCTTGTCTCCTTAAGGACCACCAAATCCCATCTCAAGGATGGGGATCCCTCTTCTCTTCTAGGAGTTCTTTGAGCAATGGCCACAGTGAAGGGAAGGGGACAAGCGCCATGACTAATGCTCTTCACTGACTCCTCTTCCTCATCCCTCGGCCCCAGTATCACCACATCTCCCCGTACCTGAGCAGCCCTTTATGGACCGGGTGAACACCATTACTGCAGTCATCCCCACTCAGGCTCCGCCGATGGTGGTAGGGTTTGCCAAAGGTCGTAGGACGCGGAGGTCCACACCGGGCTACGGGGTGAGAAGCCACAGCCCCTGAGGCCTGGGACAACGGGCGCTGCGTAGTCACGTAACAATTCACTAGGGCGGGCAGGCTGGGGAAGCGCTCATCCTCCAGCTGGAAGAGGGCATGAGGCCTGCCAGGGCGTGGGCGCAGCTGAATACGCACCACCTCAAAGTGGAGGGGTCGGCCACCCCGGCAGCAGGACAGCATCAAGGGGCCCGAGCCCAAGACTGAGGTGGAAGTGGAGGCCCATGCCAGGAAGTCCCCGTCCGTCAGCAGCAGGGCCTCTGCTTCCTAGGGATGGAATAAGGATGGAAAAGGCAAGATTGGCAGGGGAATGAAGCTCAAGCCTCAGAGCGTCCTATGGGATGGTGGCCGGGAATTCAGGTGTCTAAAGATCCCAGAGACAGGAGACAGAGAGCATAGATGGCAATGACTGGTAGGCCCAGATGTCTGAAGTCTCGAGAGGCTCGAGTGAATGGGCAGGGGCTCCTCATTTTTGGAAGGAGGAGCAGAGGTAGTAGGGTAGGGAGAGGGGGCATTGGGATGTCAGGTTCCTGAAATTCAGGAGGGGAAGGAGACCTCACGTTGGGAGGTCAGATGTCTGGTGAATCCCTTCTCCTTCAGGTCTGGCTCTCCTAAGGGAGACAGCCTATGGGAAGTTAGGCCAGAGCACCAGGTACCAGGAGTACAATACCCTCAGCCAGGAGTCTCCACCAGGGGGTGCTCGGGGTTACCTTTTGGGACAGTTCTCCATGGTACCACAGCTGGTCAAACAACTCTTTCTCAGGGTCCAGAGGCTCTTCTCCCTTTTCCATTGGCAGCTCCTGGGCCCCACTTGGAAAACATAGAACAGGGGATGGGGATCATCTGGACTGGGAGCCAGGAGACCCAGATTCTAGTGTTGGCTCTGCCCCTAACTTGGCTGGGATACCTTGGGTAAGTCTCTTCCCTTCTAAGAGTCCCAGTTCCTCCATCTATAAAAAAACAACAACCAGGCCATGTTGTGAAGGAAGCATGAGGAACAACCAAAACATTGTAGAGCTGCAAAGGCCTTTAGAAAATAACAATGCCACGTGTATACAAAGCCCAAAGGTTTACAAAGTCATTTCCCTGCAATTAATACCCTTAAGGGGCAGTAAAGGCATGATGAGACCTTACGACATGGAAGGTCAGAACTGGAACGGGGCATTAGGACATGGAACATTGAATGTCAGAATCCAGAGGAACCTTAAGAGGAGGTAACCTAGTCTAGGTGCCAGATATTGAGTCAGGAAGACGTGAGTTCAAATTCAGCCTCAGACACTTCCTGGCAGCGTGACCCTAAGCAATTCACTTAACCTCTGTGGGCCTCAGTTTCCTCAGCTGTAAAGTGGGGATAATAGAACATCCCTCTCAGAATTGTGAGGATTCAAAGAGCTTACTTAGCATAGTGCCTGGCACATAGTAGGTGGCTTAATACATATTTGTTTCCTTCCTTATCTACTAAGGCTCAGAGACGGGTTGTTATTTGTCTAGGGTCACATAGAGTTATGCTGATGTTAGACAGAACTTAGGACTAAACTCCCAATCAATAATGTTGGAGGGCAGGGTACAATGTGGGAGAGGAAATGAAGGGAAGGGAGCAACTGGAGACGGTTTCCCTAGTGTTTCTACTGTGCCTGATGGGTAGGGAGAATTCGGGACCTTAGGGCGTGGAGTTGGGGTTGTGGCTGTACCTGGGATTCCTGCGGCCTGAGTCAAGGGGGATGGAGGAGGGGGTGGTGGAGAGAAGCAGAAGGAAGTTCCGGGGGGACAGAAAAGGGAGAAGGGACTCAGTTCCAAGTCCTTTCTCCTAATCCAAGACCCAAACCTTGCCATCCCCCCCCACCCCCAACCTACGGAAACATCCAGGGTGCGGATGTGGGGAGGGAGGGGTGGATGAGTAGAGGATTTCCTATTTACTCGGGGTAAGGTCCAGGGTGTCTCCGGAAGTAGGTGATCCCGATCCCCCACCCACCTCGACTTGCAGGTACAAAGTCGAGGACCTTCAGCAACCCCCACCCCCTCCCCAGCCTCTGCCCAGAACCCTAGGAACTCACCTGGAAGGGGCTTAAGGCAGTAGCTGCCGCAACAACTCCGAGGCTCAGCGCCTCCCTGCAGCACTGCTCAGGACTGCACCTGCGCCGGCCTGACTCACCGCCCCAACCCGACCCCGCCCCCTAGGACAGCGCTGGCTCCTGCCCGTAATCACCTCGCCACGCCCCCTCAATTTCCTCCAAATAGCGAGAGGCCTCGGAGGGGCGGAGCCCTGAGCTGGGTTTACTACAATCACCCTCAGCCCTTCCTTTCCCATCCCAACCCCCTCTACCTTTTTCTGGTGCTGAAACTTTTTTCCGGGCTATAGGGGGAGGGATGTGTCAGGGAAAGGATCCCAGGGGAATGCCTCGACTTCTCCAAAGCGGCGTCGGGTTGGTGAGCAGGCGTCAAAGCAGCTGCGCGATGTGTGGAGGAATAAACACCCTATTTGAAATCAGAAGCTGGGCGCTCGATTTCAATTCTACCTCTGAGCGGGCTTCAGGAAGTTACTTAATGAGTCGATCAGAAGCATGTACTAAATGCCTACTGTGTATCAGACACTGTGCTAGGCCTTGGAGATGCAAAGAGAAAAGGGAAACTTCCTTTGGCCTCAGTTTCCCTATCTGAAAATGAAGAGGTTGGGCATGATTTCTAAGGTCCTTTCAGCTCTAAATCCTATGATGATCTTACTTCCAGCTCCCCAGGTAGCGCTGAGCCCTGATTCCCTCACATCCCTTCTTTCTCCCAACCCTAGTGCCTTGAGCCCAAACTAAGTCTCTGCCAAAGACCCAGAGTCTCAGAGGCTGTTGTCTCTTTGCATATATCTGCAATGTTTGATATCATGCCCAGAGACAGGAGTGAGGAGGACAGAAGAAGGAAATGGAAATGGGTAGACTCAACTGGGGAGGCTTCTGAGGGCCCCTCGAATCCAACGTCTCTCCTAGCCAGGCTTCCCATGGGGCCTTGGTCCTTCTCAAAGCCCCTAAATAATGACGGGGAAGGGGAAGGGGAAGGGAGACTGACCTTCCCAACTCCTCTCTTCCCACCCCCAGCACCCCTTCGTTCCTCAGTCCTGGAGTCCTGCACTGAGGGTGGAAGGCTCTTCTCTGTAGCTTCTTAAGGGTAGGAGGGAGGACCCTTAAGAGACCATTTGAGTCATTTCCCCCTACTCTGAACAGGACTGATTGGGGAACCAGGGTTGGGAAGCTCTGCCCTTGTCAGAATCTCTGTGCTGACACCCAGGAAGAAGACCAGAATAGAACCAGGAAGATTTTTCCATCTCAATCATTTAAATAGATGAGGTAATTGAGGCTGAGAAGAGACTAGGCCAAGATCAGAGGGGCAGAGGTAGGGCTGGGGCCCAGGCTGCTGACTTTGGTGTCCCGTTCCATTTTTTCCAGGCTTCCTGGAGGAGGTGAGACTGGAACTGAGGCTTGAAGGACAAGGGATGGAGTGACCAGGTGCTCAGGGCTCCTCCTTCTCCTCTGGGGGTGCTCCCCCCCCTTCATGCCCCCAGGCCCCTCCTCCAGGAGTTAACATCTTTGTAACTGGCAGAGAAGAGGAAGTGGTACTCTAGGCCTCAGAGAGTGAGTGGCGTCGGCAACAGTGGCGGTGAGACTGGCAGGCTGGGCCTTGGGGTCTGCCTGGGCCAGGTTGGGGGGGCCACCATGGAGTTGTGGCGCCAGTGTGCCCACTGGCTTATCCAGTGTCGGGTGCTGCCCCCCAACCACCGAGTGACGTGGGAAGGGGCCCAGGTCTGTGAGCTTGCTCAGGCCCTCCGTGATGGCGTCCTCCTATGTCAGCTGCTCAACAATCTACTGCCCCATGCGGTCAACCTTCGAGAGATCAACCTGCGCCCCCAAATGTCCCAGGTGAGTTCTGACCACTATGCTGGGGGCCCCCAGTCAGCACAAAGGAACCTGAGGATCCAGGCCAGAGAGAGCTGGGGACTCAAAGATGCTAGGCTTGTACCCTAGGCTAGGGCAGCGTCTAGCTGGACGTTTACAGTCTCAGAAACTTCAGGTCATGGCTGGGCCTGGGTATGCCCTAATCAGGATTCGTAGCCCAGCTAGGACTGGAGTTCCAAGCTACAGGACCTATGGCCTTAAAGTCTCTTTCCTCCAATGAAATATCCTGAAGGGCATAACTTGATTTAGCCCCACTCAGAGCTGAAGTCTCCATGTCTGGGGTGGGGGGAGGTGGTGGTGTTTGGATTGGGGAGAGGGACCTAGAGGTTTGGTTGGGGTCACATAGGGTATTGAAGACCCTATAGTAAGGGGAAGAGTTGGAGGATGGGATGGAAATCGTTGTGGTATACATGGGGGGAGGCTTGAGAGGAAAGGGGTACTGGGGATGGGGAGGGATAGTGTTATCGACCAAAGGGTTTCAGATTGCTGAATTTGGAACCAGAAGTCCTGAGTTCAAATCCCAGCTTGGCCATTTACTAACTGTATGACCTTGGGCAAGCCATTTCCCTCTCTGGATCTTAGTTTCCACCTGTAAGGTGTTCAATGGCCTGCATGGTCCCCTACAGCTCTGAATTCTATTAGAACTACTAATCTGTATAGGTTGGAATCCCCCATAGTTGGGGATTCTGGGTGGAGGCTCATGGGGTTGAAGCCCCCACAGTTAAGGTTAGCGGAACTGAGGGTGGGGATGGAGGGTGATGAACCCCACTTGGCAAGTGGGGGACGGCATAGGAGGCTGCAGTTCCCCTTCCCTACAGGGGCATCCTCATTGGGTTTACTCAGGACCCTTATCCCTGGGTCCCTGCCACCCCCACCCCATCCCTGCATATACACTTAATCCCCCAGAAGCCTGCCTGTGGTCCTTCCCAGATCAGGTGATTGGGCTTAGGCCCAGGAAGGAGGTCATTGTATCCCCAGGACTTTTGTTGTCCCTACAAGGCTCTCCCCCAGTTCTGTCCGCCTTTTCCCTTGGGCCCCTTCTTTCCCAGGCTGCCCCAGACTCTTCCTTCCTCTTCCCCTTTCTCCCCAGCAGCTTCCTGCCCCAGCCTCCAGGAAGGCTCTGAGTTTAAGGAAGGGCCCCTCTGGGGGGGTGAAGGGATCAGATGTGCCTCATTTGCTCGGCCCACTCTTGGCTCCCAAGAAGGGAGGATGGGAGCCTGGACACCTGAGTTTTCTCCTGAGGTCTTAGCCTTAGGGTTGAGGCCTAACTCCCAGGTTGCTTTAAGTTTCCTACTCTACCCTGAGGGCCTTTGGGGCTAGCGAGTAACCCAAAAGCAATGAGTACAAGTAACAAAGAGACTTTAGGGTTTGATCTCAGAAAAAATAAACAAACAACTTCCTAACAACAAGAATTGTCCCCAAGTGGAATGGATGCCTCAAGAAATAGTGGGTTCCTTCTCCTTTGAGCTCTTCAAACGAATGGAGGCTATTGTTTATTTTAATGGGGATCTCCTTTGTGTGGGGGTTGGACAGTAGGGCTGCCGAACTCCCTTCCAACCCTCAGATTCTATGATTCTGTGAGCCCCCTCCCCTTCCTCTGGGCTCCTCAGGCTACTTCCCCTTGGCTTTTATGAGGACCCCACTGCTTTTTACCCCTCCTGCTGGTGAGGGAAGGCAGTCTGGCTTCTCTAGGGGAGGACAGTAGTCTCCAGAAGTGAGGAGGTTACATTACGGCTTCTTCCCAGAGGGAGCTGCAGGTGCTGAGTTCCCCATAAGTTAGGTCTTACCAAGAAGACATGGGCCCTATCTCCATGTAGGCCTTATCTTCCAGGGTTCCAAACTCTGAGGGTGGGGGATGGGGAGGAAGACACAGGAAGAGAAGTTAGAATGACCCCAACAGTGGTGGTGGGAAAAAGAGGTGCCGAGGGAGTCATCTGGACGGGCTTCCTGGAGAAGGAGATGAAGTGCTGGCTGAGTGAAAAAAAGGAAGTGAATGATCAAGAGAGTGAGACCAGAGATGAGCCTTGAGGGTCGATGGGGTTTTCCCAGGCTTGGTGATGGGTTAGTCTGGGACAGGATGGTTGCTAGTTCCTCTGTCCTTCCTCTTCTCTCTGTTCTTCCTCCTCTAGTCTCACTCTGGACACTCAGGGCCTTGAGAAGACCATTCATTGGGTGTTGAACTAGAAGATGTGGCTTTGAATTGTGTGATCCTGGGGAAATTATTTGCCCTCTCTGGGTCTCCATAAGGGAAGGGATTGGATGTTAGATGATGTCTCAGGTGCCTTTTTGTTCTCTCCCCCAATTTCCTTGGAGTATCAGAGGTAGGGGCTAGATTTCTGGCAACAGCCTCTTCCCCTCTCCCTTCCCCCCCCCCCCCCCCCCCCCCCCCCCGGGATGCCTGGGGTGTGCTGTAGAGAGACTGGGCAGGTGCTGATTTGCATTCATTTGCGTATCATTTGCATACAACTCCTTTTGTCTAAGCCGGATGGGAAAAGAACTTCTTTTCAGCTTCCAACCGTCCCCTCCCCCAGCTCTGGTCTATCTGTGGGGACCAGGGTCCAGAAGGGCAGAAGACGGGGAGTGGAGAGGCTTGAGCCAAGCCAAGCTTCAGCCACCATAGATTCAGAGCTAGAGATCACCTCGTTCAGCTCTTCCATTTATATGTAATAAAACTGGGGCCGAGAGCAATTCAACCACGGGCCTTTGCCCATCAGTAAATGGCGGAGTTGGGATTTGAATCTGGGTCCTCTGTCTCCAGATCTAGTAGCATGCTACCTTTCCATGGTGCCTCCAGTCAGCAGACCTTCTGGGTGCCCTTGGTGAGGCCAAGACCTTCTTCACCATATCCTTGAGAGTGCCCTGGGCAGGGTACTCTTTAGGGAGAAGATGGGAGGCCTGGGATCTGCCCTTGGGTTTCCCAGTGATACTTGGCCTGGGAAGAGATGGGATCAGTATGAGGGACCCATGCAGTCAAAGGTGGAGGGACTCGGGAGGCAGAGCTTGACTGGGACTGAACAGGTCTGAAAGGTTTCCCGGAATGGTATGATCGAATGTGGTCTCTCAGACCTTAGAAAGGTGATTGCTTGCTTATACAGGCAGCTGGGTGGTGCAGTGGATAGAGTCCAGGAGCTGGAGGCACGAAGGCCTGAATTCAGATCTCATCTCAGACACTAGCTGTGTGATCCTGAACGAGTTGCTTTAGCCACTGT